GATATATCAGCAGCAGATAGATAGGTGTAGTCCAACAAAAACATCAGGTTCTGTCCAGCTACTTCTTGTTTATCCTGCAGAAAAAATCCTAAGTTAATGTTTACTGCTTCAAAAATGTATAGAAAATTCTACTTTGAGGAGGCTCCCTCAGCCTATTTTGAGTTATGCTCTACTTTTAGGAGGTCCCCTACCTTTAGCTGCAGCAGTTCCCCCACTTTCAGATTCTCTACATAGTTCTGCATCTGGACCAGTTCCTCTGTATTCTCGGCCTGCTGGGCCACCTTCTTCACGATCGTGTCATACTGCTTACATATCCCCTTGTTGAAGTCCCGGCTCATGTTGGCTATGTTGGTGACCATAATATCAATGAAGTACCTGGCTCTTTTGATCAGCCACTGTGAATATGAAATGATTCAAATGATCATCAATATAAAAAACTGTGAAATCATTAATTTTCGTTGGGGGTTAGTTTTCGTTGTTTTTGAGTTAGGGAGAGGCCCAAGAATATATGACAACCACGAAATGTAAAATTTAACATGCAGTACTACTAAACATTTTTCAACCACGAAATCAAATCACCCGAAAACCAATATTTTTTTCCTCAAACCTCGAAAGTTTGACTCCACTTAAACTTGTGATTTTACAGTATTTATAAACATCAATTTTCCTCTTAAAACTTATATTATAAATCTCTGAAAGCTTTACCTCCCTTCTACTAATTCTTTCATTCATTGGCCTTTGATGTCCTAATTTCACTAAAAGACCCAATTTTTATTTTGTATACCTGGTTGATATGGTTACAGTCTAGGTAAAATAAATGCATGGGGATGGCAACAGGAAGAGATCCAACAGCTGAGATCAGTTTCTTCAACTTCTCTATTTCCTGTCTGTACTCCCGTAGAGGGCGCTCCTTACTTATGAACTTTTTGACCTTGTTTTCGGTCTCCACGGAGATGAGGTATTTGTATGGATTATAAACTGATGTGTATCTACAAAAAAAAAATTGATTTTATGCAAATTAAATTATTTTTTTAATTGAAATGGTAAAACTTCTCAATATCCTCTGACAACTTGCTAACAATAACTTCGTTTTTTTCTTCAAATTTAAGAATCTTCCATATATGTGCTTCTTTTAAATTCTCTTATTTATTTTCAAAATAGTTCACAGCTTTCTTTCACCAGATATGGATAAAAAAAATTCAGAAATGACAATATTATGAAAAAAAAAATGAATATAATAATTACGTGTTGGGCCCGTGACTGTTTGCCATGATGACCACTCGGATCCTCTCCTTAGCGATCTCCACCAGCTCTTCTTCTACGATCACACTCCTGATGGTGGAAATTTGTAGATCCTCCACCGACTGAAACAGGAGATGTTCCACCCGTGGCAGCTCCCTGACACAGACAATCATGTGATCGATGATCAGACAGAAGAAATCGCAGACGTCGGAGAAGTTCGGCTTAAAATTAATGTCTACTTTCTCTATATTCTCTTGCTGAAAAAGAAAAACCTCAGAGAGTTAATGGTTAAAATATATTATCAATTTTTTTTTAATTCTGCATCCTAAAAATCCTTTTTACATTCTAAAACTAAAACATTTTGAGGCATAGGACCACTAAAAAGTGAATCCATTTGAATTACACACTAAGAACGAAGTTTAGCACTCTAGATCTTTCCATATGAAGAAATTTTAACTAGCCACTCTTATAATTTGGAATCAAAGTAAACATTCAATTCTTTGATTGTAACTGTTCAGCATTATATAACTATATTTATGTAATGGGGTGATGTTGTGTGTTGCATGCGCATGGTCAAACAGGTTTGATTATCAGACAGTTATTGACATATAGCACCGTTGGTATATGTTGAGCACCTGACTAAATATTCAGGGGGTCAAGGTTCAGGTCTGGTCCAGCACTTCTACTTTCCAACTAGAAAACTGACCAGTCAGCAAGGGCCCCGCTGAGGGGTAGAAATATAAGGGTGCAGCTTACAAAATAAGAATTTTACTTGAATACAATTTTTTTTTAAAAATATATGAAGAAAATTAAAGGAACAACTGTATAATTTTTAAATTTGAAGACAATTCCTGAATGTCCAAAAACCTGTAAATGGTGACCTTGTATTTACATAAAACAGGGAAAATCTCATTCTTATAATAACTCTATTAAATGTGTATTTAAAAAAGATTTATGCAGGTGTTTTATAAAATGCTATCCTTCAGTGAATGCAAATATCACCCAGGGTTGACCTCAACAACAAAATAAACATCAGTTGCAGACAAAGATGTTCATAAATTTTCATGTGGCAGATAAAGATAAGCCTCTAAATTTTCAGCAGCAAGCAAGATAATTTATCCCAGGGGATTCATTATGCTGCTCTTTCATCCTTTTCTTTTAAAATTACAATAAGAACTTTTTTCAGCAATAGACAGAATGGGGTTATTATCTGATTACCTGTTAAAATTAAACAGCATTAAGGCAGCAAAAAAATTAAATAAATAATTAAAAAATAAATAATAACAAGAGATGTTTGTAAAACAATTATGCCCGCCTCTCCAAAATAATTGGAATGGTGAATGTCACAGTCGAAAAAAAAGCATAACTCTGTCAAAAATGGCATGATCGTACCTAAAACAGATCTTGACCTAGATATTGTTATGATAAATCTGTATACAAAATTTCATCTCAGTATGTGCAACAGTTGTGAAGAAAATGAACGGAAACTGCAAATAATTGAATTTTTTCTAAGTCCAAGGGACATAACTCTGTAAAAAGTGATGCGATCATACCCAAAACAGAACTTGATTTAGATATTCATCTGATTAATCTGTATACTAAATTTCATCTCAGTATGTGCAATGGTTTTGAAGAAAATGAATGGAAACTGCAAATAATTGAAATTTTTCTAAGTCCAAGGGGCATAACTCTGTAAAAAATGGTGCGATCATACCCAAAACAGAACTTGGCCTAGATATTCATGTGATATATCTGTATACCAAATTTCATTTCAGTATGTGCAATGGTTGTGAAGAAAATGAACAGAAACTGCAAAGAATTGAAATTTTTCTAAGTCCAAGGGGCATAACTCTGTGAAAAATGGTGCGATCGTACTCAAAACAGAACTTGGCCTAGAAATTCATCTGATTAATCTGTATACTAAATTTCATCTCAGTATGTGCAACGGTTGTGAAGAAAATGAACAGAAACTGCAAATAATTGAAATTTTTCTAAGTCCAAGGGGCATAACTCTGTAAAAAATGGTGCGATCATACCCAAAACAGAACTTGGCCTAGATATTCCAGAACTTGGCCTAGATATTCATGTGATATATCTGTATACCAAATTTCATTTCAGTATGTGCGATGGTTGTGAAGAAAATGAATGGAAACTGCAAATAATTGAAATTTTTCTAAGTCCAAGGGGCATAACTCTGTGAAAAGTGGTGCGATCATACCCAAAACAGAACTTGACCCAGATATTCATGTGATATATCTGTATTCTAAATTTCATCTCAGTATGTGCAATGGTTTTGAAGAAAATGAATGGAAACTGCAAATAATTGAAATTTTTCTAAGTCCAAGGGGCATAACTCTGTAAAAAATGGTGCGATCATACCCAAAACAGAACTTGGCCTAGATATTCATGTGATATATCTGTATACCAAATTTCATTTCAGTATGTGCAATGGTTGTGAAGAAAATGAACGGAAACTAAGTGGACCGACAGACCGACGGACCGACAGACCGACCGACAGACAGCAGCAAAGCAATATGCCCTCCCTTCTTCGAAGGGGGGCATAATAATAAAGGATATCTTTATATATATATCTTGTTTTTAGAAATCAATAAAATCATAACTCATTGTGTGCAGTATTTTATCCAAAATAAAGTATGAACAATATATAAATCTACATCATTCAAATCTGAGCTTAACTTGAAAACAAACTTCATTTGCAGACAGAGGTGGTACAGTGATTAATCTCAATGTGACAGCATACATGTTAACTGACAGAAAAAGATAATGCTTAGGATTTTCTTCAAGTGGAATGTTAACTAGAACTGTCCAAACATGACAAAATACCCCCCGCTGGGTTTTTCAGAAGTAAGTTTTTCCATAATAAAGATATGTATCAAACATGAATTATGAAATTTTTCTTCCGGTGACCTTGAACTTCCCCAATGACCTTGGGTCAAGGTCATGACATACCCTTCGGTCATGGGCAATCTTTGTGTGAAATGAGAACCTACCAAGTTTATCCATAAGAAAGAGATGGACCTGACAAGAATTATAAAATTTTTCTTCCAGTGACCTTGAAGTTCCCCAAATGACCTTGGGTCAAGGTCATGACACACCCTTGGGTCATGGGCAATCTTTGTGTGGAGTAGTAGATTCTAATGTCCCTCTGTAAGAAACATATGGACCGGACATGATTGCACAGACGGACAGACAGACAGATGGACAAGGTGATTCCTATATACCCCCCCAAACTTCGTTTGCGGGGGGCATAATTAATCCCAAGGGATTCTTGCACAGCTTTCAGAGTTTACAATAGGAACCTTCTCAGCAGTTATCTCTCTTTGCCCATTCATTCTTAAAAGTTATGCATATTTAAGGAATCTACCCCACCACCCCAGCTCCAAACCAGAAGACATACAGAACCAAACTTAATATCAAAATATGTCTTTCTGTCTACTTAACCACCATACCAAATTTGAACTTAATTGGGCAACCATAAAAAAAGTTATTAGAAAAAAACAGAAAATTTGTGGACGGAAGAATGACAGACGGACAGACAGAGTGATTACTATAGGGCACCCCCAAATCCTTGCGGGGCCCTAATTACAGTCGATTAATTTTTTTTGTGTATAATTGGTGGCATTTTATTCTGTCTTACACATCCTTTATTTCTTTTCACATTTGTGAATACATAATGTAAAACAGAACATCGTGTAATAGTTTACTTAATAAAATCACAATCATTTACCATGAAGAAGTGAACTATATGGATTTTGGTGGGCAGGGCTAACCCACTGAACAGTGTGTATTCGCCGTCATACTGACTTCCCTCTGTGTATTCCTCAATCAAGTCCACGAGGTCATATATAGAGTTAATCACACAGCTCCGCAGTAAGTTTGACATCAAAGATGCGATACTGTTGAAGAACCTATCCATCTTTTTCATCCTCAGGCCCTGATTGAGAGAAAAAATGGAAAAATTTAATAAAGCTACTTAAAATAAGGTTGTTCCTAAGAACTGGAATAGGACAAGAAATTACAAATTAAAGTAGAGGGGGTCTGGGGTTCTTCTCTTAACAGAGGTTGAGGGGTAATACCAGAAAAACCAGGGGTTACATCATAATGGGTGGGAAAATCCACGACCCTCGGGACTTAGAGACAACCCTTTCATAACAATTTTACATCAATTTCTATGTTTAATTTGCTGTTTTTGAATGGATAATTTGAAATTTAAATATTATAAAACTCAGAACATTTTTTTGGACATTTAATTTGCAATAAATATATACAGTGTATGAGAAAAATGCCTACTTAGAGATGTAAAAGGCAAATTTAAATAACAAGATGGAGAGAAAAACACTCATAAAATTTAAAATAAATAAACAATAAAGTTTTAAAAGTGTTTTCTAAATTAGCACTCATAAAGTTTCCCAAAATAGACCAAATAAAAAATAAGTGTAGAAACTGTTTACGTTCCTAAGGCCTCATACTACATGTACTTTAAATTATTTTCTTTAGTACAGCTTGATAAGGGTATAATTTTGATTCCAGCAATATTTAAGCAACACTTAAGACTGACAAAAAAAATGACCATTAATCAATTGCAAGACCTAAAATCTATCATCTGAATAGCAAACTTTTATAAGTGAATAATGGGTTATGATTAAACATGTCACTGCAGAATAAAGAATAAGTCAAATTTGGACAACCTTTGACACATTAATCAAAAGTGTCATATGCATTTATATGCAGTTTAAACAAAAACGGATACAGAATCTTTTTAGAGAGAAGCATGTGTAATATACGCCCTCAATTTATTACATGTACTTGAAATTGAGAGTATTTTGAATTGTTAACAAACGCATTCTCTCTAACTTCAGTCCATTGAAATACAGGTATCTTGGTTGCAATATAGCACACCCTTATAAAATATTCTAACCTTTAAAATATCAGTTTGAAACAAAAATTCTCATGTTCTTTAATCTGTGTTTTAAGCAATATATTGCTCATTTAATATTTAATAAAAATGATCAAGAATGCTTCAGAACCCATCAAAAGTGGTATTATTTTGATACCAAAAATATCTTCAAATTTGCTAAATCCTGCAACTTCACAAACCTTAGACCTTCCTTCAAACTTGCTGAATCCTGGGGCATCAAAAATCTTAGATCCACCCTTCTAACTTACTGAATCCTGTGGCATCCAGTCCTCCACTGTGTCGCGGTGGCTATCCACGATCTCGCAGACCTCCGGCAGCCACTCGTACCGCAGCCTCTCCGCGGCAGCCAAGCTGGACTGTTTGACATTCTTGTAGAAGTTTTCCATGGTTAGCGGCATGACCTCTCTCAGATGAGGAATATCGATAAGTCTGAAGTCTCCATATCTAAAAGACACATAGCATAAATAATATGTGTTTGTGAAGCCAGCAACTTGTCTAATCCCTATGTTGTGCATTCAAAAATCTTGCTTAATTCGATGTTAATTTTTAATTTAAGTTATAGACTCTTTTGCAGGAGATTCAACTGTTAAAAATAAGGCAAAGCAAATGACATTTTAATTTTGCTTGCAGTTAAATATTATTACATACTTTGTTTGAAAATGGTACAGAATGGTGTACATGACAGGATGGGTGATAAACAGGTCATTCTTCATAAAATCTCGAGTTCTGTTGACCATCTCATGCCAGGGGTACTGGTGTCTGCCTGCTGAGTTGGAGGGCTGCAACAGACACAAAATCCACAAAATGTTAAAAGGGCAATTTACTTGTAGGTTCTTACATGTATGTCAGATACTATCTCTTGCAAAATGAGGAATCTTTTTTCAGTTAAAGTTGCAACTAAAATTTTAAATACTGAGAGTGAAAGGAGCATAGTTGAACTTTGGCTTAAAAAATTTGAAATCCAAGGAGGTTCATTATGCATAAATCACTTTCTAACTCTTACTGAATGGCACATTACATAACAAAATAGTCATACTTTTTCCCTTCATCTTTTAAACTTAACTTCCATTCAACTCCAACAGATTTAACTTCAATTTTTGACTACTATTTGGTACTGGGCCCTAGTCTGTCCTGTTTTGCATTGTCTTTACCTTTAACCCTTTAACTAGCTTGCTCACCTTTAGAGGTGTGGGTACCCCCAGTCGGTCCTGTTCTGCTGAGCCCCCCCTTATTTTAGCTTGCTCACCTTGACAGGTGTGGTAACCCATAGTCTGTCCTGTTCCACTGAGCCCCCCCCCTTATTTTAGCTTGCTCACCTTTACAGGTGTGGTAACCCATAGTCTGTCCTGTTCCATTGAGCCCCCCCTTATTTTAGCTTGCTCACCTTGACAGGTATGGGTACCCCTAGTCTGTCTTTTTCTGCTGACCCCCCTTTTTTATTTTAGCTTGCTCACCTTGACAGGTATGGGGACCCCCAGTCTGTCCTGTTCTGCTGAGTCCAGTAAGATGTAGTCCAGTATGGCTTTCTTCAGGGCTAGTCTTCTATCCTCCTCCATTTCCTACAAAATAAAAACACTCTTCATACTTATTTCAGCAACAACCGATCCCCTTAACTACATTATGCCTTTTTTATTTCAATAATGACCAAAGTTTCTCTTTTTGAATGGAGTACCTGTCATTGTCAAATTGAGACTTAGTTGGATTGATTGATAGTATGTTGTTTAACATCCCTCTCAAGAATATTTCACTCATATGGAGACGCCACCACTTGCCAGTGGAGAGCTACAAATTTTGTCCTATGCTCGGCACTCAGGGCCTTTGAGCAGTGAGGGATCTTTTTCATGCCAGCACCTACTGCGATACGGGGCTTCTGTTTATATGGTCTCATCCAAAGGGTCTGCCTCCACGTCCCACAGTGGGATTCCAACCCGCGACATAAGGATTGACTCCTTACTTCGCGACTCTAGAGCAGACGCTCTAGAGCACTGCATACTGTAATCTTTAATTCGTGATTTACCAGGGGTATCGTTTACGACAATAAATTTTAGTGATCATCAGGGTTGTGGTTAACCACTCGCCCATGCGATTAAAATTTCAAGTGGGCGATGAAGAAATCAAAATTTGATTGCCCACATGGCGAGCGTCTTGTTCCCGGAACATGACCGTGCTTTGTTTGTATTTTTATAATCCCCTTCCTTTTTTCATAACAAACACTATGTTAACCATGACTTTTGGTGTCGCGTGCAAACTATTACATTTGTATACGATACAAGCACTTGCGTGACCTAGACGTATGCCCTAGTGAAACCAATAATGTGGCGGTTTAGAAAAGCAGCATTTTCAAATATTTTGTTGATGAGGTATGTGGGCCCGTAAATCACATTGTGGGCCCCTAAACTTTGAAAAGTAAGGGGCCCACATGGCTCCTAGGATGTAAATGGTTAACCACAACCCTGGATCATGCCTTTTTTTTGATCTGTTGTTTATAGACAGAGATCTTAAGGACCTGATCACGACAAGAAATATTGAATTATTCGCAATGACTATAGGCTCTCGTGAACCATGAGAAAATTTCTTGCACACCAATAAAATTTGGTTTACTTTAATTTAATTATTTAATTTTCAATATCTGACTTCCTGCATATACTTCATTTTTATCTGAACTTCATATATATAAAACAAACTGCAGAGAAAATAAAACATTCAAAAAGTGTTTAATGAAATACAAGTCTATGCAATACCCTTAAAAACCTTAGTATTTACATAAACCTACCCTGAGAAACCTGCGTTTGGCGCTGGGTACAGCCTGTCGGAGGGTTTTAGGAACCAGTTCAAAGATTCCCTGGACCGTCTCGGTCTCCACGGGACTGATCATGTTGGGTTCTATGGCTTTCTCAATCAGCTGATAATACCTGTTCAATGGAACATTAATAGTATATTATTCATCTCTTTGGTTATGATTTATATAGTTTAATATAATTATGTTAAATAAAATTGTGGTAAATTTTAATATCTTTAATTTTACATGTTTTTTTTTCTAAAATTAGTTGGATTTTTTAATGTATTTTAACCTCAAAGTTTTTCTTTGGCCCAGATGAGTTTAAATATTAAGACTATAACATTTATATATATTTTACAAGATTTAGTAAATGTGTATGTATTTCAGGTCTCATGAAAAAAAGTTTTTCAAGATTATTTATTTTTAGCACTGAGATTAAAATTTTATTCATGTGACAACAACTGAGTTAACCTTGGCCGGTCCTCTTCCTTTGGGGTGCTGGGTCGAGATAAGCCATGAGTGGAGAAGTAAAAGGGAGGGAACTCCACCGTGAGTATAGAGCGGGTGTAGTCATCGTGTCCTAAATAACCCGCCAGCTCAGCTTCATCATCTGTAGAAAGAATAGAAGTCTTAGAATGCTTTACTTTGAACAGAGTTATTTTCACCCTATGTTATTTTTGCTTTTTAGTACCTAGAAACAATTTTGCCCATTTTAAATTCACTCTCAAACAGTTGAGTTTATAAAATACTGCCCTCTTCTTTGAATTGAACCATTTCAAATTCGCCCACATGCCAAAAAGGATGAAAATAAAATTTGATGACAACTTTTACTAATAATGATCTCTCTTTAAAATCATGAAGAATAAAACTAGAGTACCTCCTTCGTTGAGATCCTTTTCTGAGTTTTCGTCCACTTGTGACATCTCGGGGGCGAATACTGAGTGCGGCCGTCCACTGTCCGTGGTCTCGTCCACACTGACCGTGCTGTCCTGTCCATGTCCATTCCTCTGTGTGGAGCTGTCTGCCAGACTGTGACTCCCTGTTTACAAATTAATCAACAATTAGTTAAAAAGGACTTTAATTTACAAAGTTTCATGAGCCTTGGACAATACACATGACTAACTAAAGACAAATGCTAATTTAATACAGTACTCTTCATAACGAAATATAGCTAGAACTCAAATGTGATAGGAATAAAAGTTTTCTTTTAAACTAGGATAATACAAAATATTCAAATTATGCAACTCATAATTATATGAAACAGTGGGATGTTTTCAAGGTGATAGACAACAGTGGAGAATTTGAGTGGTTTTTATCAAGAACAGTGGCGTGGCTACAGATAACTGGATTTTGGACAAATGTTGTCATTTTACAACATCAGGAAGCCGAGCCAACCTCACTTGAGGTTAGCAGCTGACAAAGGAGAAAAAAAAAGATTTTGGAAGTTCGGGACTGTGATGGTTGAAGTAAAAAATTTTACATTTATTATAACATAAACCACCATCTCAAGCTTCAAGTGCACTCCCCACAAATGATTTGGAAAATGTATTAACAAATTCAGGAAAGTATAGATTGAAGTCGGCTTTGCACAAAAGAAAAGTTTGAACAAAGAAGAAAGTACGGTATGATCAAAAATCCGCCCTGTCCCAAAATCTAATGAAATTGTTCTTGAAACATGTCTAGAATGACCACTTCCTAAGTCATTTTAATTTTTGTAATTATCTCAAACCAATTCTCCAAGAGAGCTCTTTAAATATAGGTAGTTTTCGTAAGAAAATAACGCAATGACGTTATGACGTCAACTTGACGTTATCGGATTTTGAACGTTTAATCCCGATACAGCGCAAAAAAATAAAAATAAAAATAAAAATAAATTTTGAACTGAAAAAAAGCTTTAGCTTATACTCTTCTGTTTCCTTTGTGAGCTATTCTTAAAATATGGAGCGAGTTTAAATTTCGCTGAATTTAAAAATTAATTGTCTTTACTGGAAATATTGTTGGTCATTGATTTTGCTACTTTTTCCGAGAAAACGATTCATCAAGAAAGTCAATGGAACAAAATTTTTAGCTTGAGGTCCATTATTCCAATTTTTTGCTCACGATTAAATCTTAAATTTCTGAATAAACGGTATATTTTTCTTTTATTCAATTTTTAGGCGGGCTCATTGCTCGTAGAGCAATGCCCGGCTATTGCGACCGTGAGCAACGGGAAATGCTGCTTCTTCACCGCCAAATTGAGTTTACGAGTAAAAATATAGTACGTACGCCCAGCCGCTGTTGAGAAAACAAAATCCATTCAAACACCTTAAGAAATAGTAAATCGAATATTTTTATCAAAATATTAAATGAGTTGCGTCAAGCGAAAAGGGACCTTCGTGACAAAATTTTCGAAAATAGTTTTTTTACCGATTCTGAAAGAGCTAGTTTTTCTGAATACTTTGATACCAAATTTTTTATTATATACCTTCTAAATTCTAATTAAAACTCAAGATGAAAGCAATGCAATTTTAACAAGATAATGCTATAAAACGTTGAATAACGTCACATAACGTTATTGATATTTGGAACGTTATTATTACTAAATAACCCTTTTGTATTAGTTAGAAATTATTTTTTCTGCATGTATTAAGTTTTTTCAATATCTATTTCCCCAAATTTTAGCATTTTTTTGATCATATACACTGTTAAATAGCGATAAGGCTGTTGAAAAAAAACCCTTAATTTTGTCTATATGTAGGCCAATATTGAAATAATAAAGTACATATAAGTTGTACATTTTCAAAGAATAATATATTCAACGACGCCATCTCATTTTTTTTTCTACAATATGAACATAAGCACGCTTTAATCTCTGAAAAATTGATATTTGAAAGGATCCTTTACAAGGGGATAGACCCCTGACCATACAAAACCAAACAAGTTCCTACTCTGCAGTTATCTCGCAAGGCATTCGTAACAACACGGATATTTTCTAAGAGAGAAATAACAGTACATGTACGTTCACAGAAATGACCGAGTATTTACGATTGCTTGCAAGGGAGTAAAATGAATAATTATGTTCATGTAGTGGGGTCTTAAGGATTGATCCCGGTCAAAGTATTAATTGTTATTTCCCTTTCGTTATAATCGGCAAATCACCTCCACAAAAACAAACCCTTAACCAGTACCTACATGTATTTTTTGTGGGAATGACATAATTGTACTTCCCTGAACAAATGTTTTTAGGGGGTGGGTGGTGTGCAACTTTCAGGCAATGTTATTTTTTTTACTTATCAATTATTCCATACTTCTTTCAAAAACGATGTCCTATTATTTTATTTCAATTGAAAATTATATTGAAATGTGAAATATCCTCCAATTCAAATAAGATTAAACGTGTTTGTTTTATTCCCCCTTCTAACTTTGCTACTTGCCTATATGACAGTGATTTAAGATGCTAAAATTAAACAAAATATACCGGTACAAACATTAGATACTAAAATTAAATAAAATATACCGGTACAAACATTAGATACTAAAATTAAATAAAATATTCCGGTACAAACATTGTATCAATAATTATGACTTAAGGACTTAACTATATATCAGTTTAAAGAAATAAAGTTTTTGTACATTGGGGAAACGGGGGAAGGGGGGGGGGGGGGCTTCTTCAAAAATGAGCCCGGCACGTTGTGCTTGGAACAAAGACACGTTACTTCGGTGCTTGCGATTGTTTAAATTTTGCTAAAATAAATATCGTATGTCGTGCAATTTTGTAAAGAGAAAATATTGTATTTTATCCTCATGTTAAAAATTTTAAGGAAATGAATTTGTTCAGCACTAAAGAATACCAATAAAAATACCCAAGTTATGTATATACCTAGACTTGATGGAAAACAATCAGTTGGACAACATTAAAAGTCAGACATTGAATTCATACTTTTAGAGTACCGGGTATACTAAAATCGTTAATATATAATTAACGTATGTATAAGCTTTTCTTCTGGGGACTGCCACCCAATCAGGTGTTAGTACGTTGTTTCATGCAATATTTTATTGATCAAATCACTGGTACTGGATGACATTCTAACTGTACAATCTAAACAGTTGATACACAGATACATACATGTACATGTAAATAATCAGTTTAATTAAATGGTGTAAAATGCATGGGCCTCATCCCCTGAAAATCCAAACAATATAATATACATATACAGGCTGCCATCGGAAGAAATTTCTTTTCAATTTATTCTCAGCATTATTTTATTATGCATAATGTGTACAATCGACAATCCTCGGCTGACTCCGCTTCACTCCATTCAAACAGGTACGAGCCATCCGAGGAGCTCCGAGTGATATCCAAAAAAAGAACTTTAGATAGAAAAAAAAAAATTAAGTCACGAATTAATGATGATTATAGGAAATTATTTACAAAACGTAGTTAATTTTTTTTTTCAAATCCAACTTTTTATTCTTAAAGTCAGGTTGTGACAGGGTCTGTAATTCTTAAAATAAAAATTTCAAAATTTCTCTCATACCCGATTGAAAATTTTTTTTATATTTTTAAAATCATATGCAGTAAACAGACACATATAGAAAGCATCTTCATTTGTGGGAAAGGGCGTTATAAAAGTACGTTATTTAACAGAGATAAAAAAAAAAGGAGTCATCAGACAATATTATTAAGAGGTCACAACATGCACAAGTGTAAATAATCATTGATTTCACAATCTCAGTGTAAATTGAGATAGGTCTATGGCAACATTAACAAAGTGGTTGCACAGCTTCCAGATATGAATTCTCATGATCCTCTGCAAATACATCTACAGTGTATGAGAAAGAAAAGGAACCATTGAGATACTGTTTGAAAAACAAAATAACTCATAACCACTTGACTGATGATGTGGATTACAAAGCAATAGTTCGGCACTTAATAAATTGGTCAAATATAGGAGCGATGTTTGTTTTTTTTTAGGAAAGGGGGGGGGTGGTGCATGTACAATTGTATTATCAAATTGGCTATGGCCAAAAAAAATAAATTGATAGTAAATTAATACGTAAAAACGAAAGTGAACAAGCACAAGCGAAACAAAAAAAAAATAAATTAATTAAACAAAAAAATCAAGTGAGAGAATAACGGAAAAAATCGGAATTAATCCTTGAAAAGCTTCCCTTTCCGTAGTACCCCGGTAATATAAAACGAACATAAGCACATCCAAAAAAACGTGTGTTTTTGTGTAGGGGGGGGGGGGGTAAACAAACCATTTAAATAAAAAAAATTATGCAGGATTATAAGCTCAAAATGTCTGGAACTACTGTATTTGCCTTAAACATAATTAGGAAACTTCAAATCAGAAAATAAGACTAATGTACATTACTCTGACTTTAAATCATCTCTCATAATTTTCGACTTGAAGTTATAAACATCAGCTTAACCCAGAGTCACCGTGTTTAGTTTTAATTAATTTCAATAAATTTAGGCAATGAATACAAGACTTCATATTAGTTTTGAAAATGACAACTATTGATTATTTTCACATTTTATTACGTCAGTTTTCAAACCTCAGAGTGCTGCGCCAAAGGTGACGATGTTGAGAAGATACAGAAGTCCGTATGGCTTCGCCACTTCATCCTTTATGACATTGCTACAGACAGTTTCCTAGCTGCTGCATTCATGTTTTTTTTCTATGTATTGACAAAATGCTATTGCAACTATGCTAGTATCAGTTAACTTGATTCGATTACTTAATCTCTGATAACAAAATTTGGGCATTGAGCCGCCAATTCTCGGACCTTTCTGACTAACGGAGATACAACCTGGATTGTGTAATATGTACCCCCCCCCCCTAAAAAAACATTGAAATAAATGCAGGAGACCACTTATCTGTAGAGTCTGGAGCTCAGCCGGAAATGCCAATGACGCGATTTCCTTCAGAGCTTACTGAGGTAAACACGTACATGTACATGGATTTGTTCATGAACATTTTTCACTTCTAATAAGGCCATTCATGAACTATCAAAAATTAAATTAGTTAATACACTATTTGGGAAAAATAACCA